TTCCTTCATGAACGCAAATCACACAATAATCACACCTTTCCGGAATGGATAGGCACATAATTTAAAAGTGAAAGTAAGAAAAAAATAAATCATTAACGAGGCAATTATTCATGTGAGATGTTGAGCGGTTTAATAAATCATTCATCTTTACGAACCTACTATAGATAAGCATCTCGTCGGTTCATTCATAATGTTGCCACGGCCTGGATTTACCACGGATACTTTAAGAATCGTTCAATATAAGAAATATGTTTACTAAAGATGGTGATAAGATACAAATAATACATCATAAGTATATTTATGATTGCATCAATGCTGTAAATGATGGTAAATCATACGTAAATATAATTAATTTAACAAAATAAATTCTAAGATGCATGGTATAATATTGATTTATTAATAACAATAAAAACGGAACAAATAAAAAAAATAATTATAGGCTATAGATAATTAGGACGCAGTCATTTTTAAGGGTTTTACTTATGGCTAATTTTATTTACACAGAATAAATTATAATAAAGCGTTTCTTATCATGCGATTTTTTCATAACAGTATTACGTTAATGGAGAGTTCTATTTATTTTATTTGTATTACAATCGACTACAAGAAAAGGTAAACATGATTTTCTTTTTAATATTTATGAATGGCCTTTTCTAATTGTATTTATAAGATAGATAAAAATGTCAGCGAAACATGTATTTATGAATGAAACAATATTATGTTCTTATTAGTTAAACTATTTATAGTTTGAATACGTTGGTTGTTAAAAATGAATAGTTTTGTGTTGAATTTATTTTTTATAACTTTACAGAAATATATTTTGATTAGAAAATGGGTAAGCGTTGTCACGGATTTTTTTTTTTAATTGAAAACTAAATAAATTATGTTGAAAAATATTTCAATATTCTTTTTAAAGAAAATAAGTAAATAAATATCTAGTAATATTAAAAAAACATAATTACTACATATTGTTCGATTTGAGTAGCTCAAGCATAGCGGTTTTATCCTCAATATAAAAATAAACTTAATAATTTAATGTTATTTTTTACAAAATTTCTTAAAATAAGGAAACTGTTACTTAATATTCCATAACTATTGATGTATTCCAATATGTTACTTTTACATTTATTTCAAAAATTTAATTTAATTCATACATACAAAATACTTAATTTAATCAGTAATTTAAAGATATTTATGTTCGGTACATCAACAATTTTTCTATTTATTATCAGTAAATAAAGAGTCAATTCTTTATTTCTTATAATTCTTTAATTTTTAAAAATAAATTATTTATTTATTCTAATTATATAATCTGTGTCAATTATTTTATTCAAACAGTTTCTAAGATGTTGGCATCAAGAATCTCAAAATAGTTTTTATTTGTATATATTTTTTTTTTTTTTAGTGATATATAATTGCATAACCAATTTCGATTATTTATATTTTTTAACCAATTTTTTTAGTTAATGTATTATTGTAATAGTCAACTAATATAATTTTAGATAACATTAATTTATTCTGTGTGTAATTTTTAAATTTGTATATATGTGTTGAAAATCTGATATTTACATGCATCCTATACTTCGAAGAGCAGGCTCTAAGCTTATAGTTTTAAATAAATTTAATTAAATTAATTAATAGAAGACAAATAAATTTATTATTTCATTTAAATTAAATTAAATAAAAGGCAGACAAAAGAGACATTTAAATAATGAAATATCTATTGGATAGAAGGGAGAGGTAACGATACTCCTATCTATGACCTCGTTCTAAGTGCTTAAGTACTCCAGCCAGGAAGCCATAGATAGTCTAATATTCTACTCTCATTAGCAGGTAACTAAAAGAAAAATAAATTATTGCTTTTTCTTTTTAAATTATTTATATTAATAAATAAATATATATATTTTTTTAAATTGTGATTTATGGATATAGTTCTTTATGCGATGCTAATATTTGTAACAAAATAAAATAAATATATTTTTCGAAGGGAATGTAAAAAGAAATATCGTCATATAAGAATAATTTCTTGAATCTGTCTATTTCTATCCAAGTACGAATGAAATTATGAAAAGCATTAAATTTCAATATTCAATAAATTATATCAGTTAACGAATTAATATTTGTAACAGATACTTTGTCACTATGAAGGATTAAAATATAAAATAAAATACAACAGGAGGTTGCTATCTAGATAAATGGCTCAATGAAATAAAAGAAGAAGATATCATTTTTCAACATGATCCTGAAACCTTTTAATACCGAACCCTGAATATATTTACTCCTTCCATAGATTAATTTCAGCTAAAAAAAATCTATATAACGTCGGCAGTCGACTAAAATTGAAGAAGTCATTAATTTTAAATTTTTATAAAAATAATAATAATAAAATGTATGGCAAAAATAATAGTACAGTCATTTTTGTTATACAATAAAATTAAAGCAACAATATAGGAATATTATAAATAAGCAATACTTTATTTAAAATTTATATTCAAAATTAGTAAAATTGCTAGATCAGTTTATGTTATATGGTGACAATATAATAAAGATACAAGATTGACCCTAACTACTACAAGATTTATTTAATAATATTTTAACAGTAACTCATATTTGTCGAATATAGTCTATCTAATAATTAGAATTAGAATTTGAATTATTTTTAACAGATATTAAATTCATTTATCACACTAAAAAAAGTTTATAAATTGCAATATGAAAATAAATTACGATAATGTATTTAATCAGCCAAGCTCTAAATAATGGGTTTATTATCAATATTAATAACAATTGTTAATCACAAAAATCTTTTTATTAACGTTTCAGTGTGCCTGTCAGTTCAGCGTTGCATATTATTTTACTTCATAAAATTTCTCAATTTTATGTGTCTTATATATATTTAATTTTATATAATTCAACGGTTTTATTGCTTTCTCACATTTTTCATTTTCAGGCAAGCAATGCCGTGATGTGTACTATAGCATACTTTTGAAATAAAACCTTCAATGCAATTTTTAAAAGCCATAGAAATACATATTATTGTAAAATTATATTATTACCCATATGGCATAAATAAATATAAGGTTATTGATTTTGATTGTCGTAAAATAAAAATATTATATTTATAAATTATGGAGATATCTAGTGTTGCCCAAATGCGAGACTGAGAAGATTCTTGGTCTTGCGCATGACTCTCGTAACGGTCTTGCAGTTACTTATTAGCTTATTACTAGAGAGATGTTATTGTAATTTTTTAAATATGAGAAATCTAACTAAGTCTGAATGAAAAATTAGAAGAGTTAAATGCAAAAGTTTATTGGTTATACCAATTCTTTATATATATTAAGTAAAATGGTCAATATTAGTAACTATTTTGTTTACCAGTCTTGGTCTTGCAACAGATAGGCGGTGTTGGTCTTAGTCTGGTAAAGTGCAAAACCAAGACCGATTTTGGGCGACACTAGGGATATCTACTGATAATTTTACTTAATAGCAAAATCATGTTTTTTTTTTTTTTTGTTTTTTTTTTTTTGTTTCAGTTAAGGTCAGAAAATACTTCTGGGTGCAATCCTGTAAAGTGGAGGCCTAAAGTATTAATATGCAGCTGGAAAATCTGATCGTTTCAACCTGATATTGACCACCTTTGCCTGGTATAAACTTTGGTCAAGGAATAACGCTTACTCATCAAAAAGTAACCTTCACCCTAGGTCAGGAGTTCCAAAACTTTATATCAGTGCGTAACACACCCACTTTTTTTAGATAAATGGGCTTATAACCACAGCCTGGTCTTATGATCTCATATAATGTTCGTCAGTTCTTCTTAAAAAAAAAGTTTAAAAATTCAAAATCAAAAGATTATCAATTTGAAATAACAATAGAAAAAACAAGAGAACTGAAAAGAAACTCAAATAAAAGAGAATGCAGAAGAACATCAATATATTTCAGTTGAAAGCATAATTTGCAATCAGAGCGTGAATTGTGGGATCAATAAACGTCAACTTATTGAAAGTTCTTTTTAACACTTGATGCTTTAATTTTCACTATCGTAGACTGCAGGGCTTGACTAAGCTTTTGGAACGAATACAAATTCAAAGCAAGTTATAGAAAAAAACATTTGGTGTGCGCATCACACAACTTTCACTTACCGTACTACTTTGAACAGAAATTATAGTTATTTTGATTTAGCATTAATAGTAATAATGAGAGAGTTAATTATTATAAAAACAAAAAAAAAATTAAAAGTACTTTAGAGAAAGAAATTTCGAAAAATCGACGTTTAAGCCCTGTCAGACCGCATCGATGATAATAAAACCCACTTTTTGACGAAAAAGTTTAAAAATCCCTAGCATATGCAAACCTTAAAAATGCAGTTTACTTCCGTAAGACTTTTAATTTATGGTTATGTTAACATACATAATACACACACACTGACCATTTAGCGATACTTGGTTATTTGGACTCAGGAAACCTCAAAACGTGTATTTCCGTTCAAAACTTGGAATAGGAAATGTTCATGATTGCAATATTTCATATAAAGTTAAGTGAAATTTAAAAAAAAAATGTTTATTAAGATTTGGTTTGGTTAGATATATTGGTGCAAGATTTGGAAGAAAAATAATTAAATTTGTTGTATTTACGACAAAGGTACAATGAAATAAATTTCCTATTAATTTTCAGTCGACTTACAGTTAAAGAATTTCACATCCCTTCTTTTTTTTTTTTTTTTTGTAATACTTAGATTAGTTTTTGAATATGAATAATTACACCATTGTATTTATTGGATGTTTTTACATCGAAATCGTAGCGACAAAAGAAAAAAATCGATTAGAGTTATTTTGGAAGTAAGTGACTCCATTTTTTCATATAACAAATAGAATATATCTATTTGTTAAGTCGCAATTTCACAACAAACGTCTGAATTTCATAAAACAAGAGATGGAATAAGGCTGTAAGAAGCAGGGACACTTTCAAGAAGTTTCAAGCGTTGAAAACCGGTTTGACAAATGAAATCTTCCGTTCCAACTCGGGGGTCTTGGAACGGATTCAAAACTTATTTCTTTGGAGGAATATCGCAGTGTTGTCCTCTCTTCCCCGCCACAATGGGATTAAATATCCCCAAGGAGGGAGTGGAACCCCATTCCAGCCGGCGGTTACCATGGGCACCCGTATGTCGGGGGGAAGTCTACTCAATCCAAAGCCGTTTCACCATCTACCGTTCGATCGATAGCTTTATGGCATGTAATATCCTCCGGCCGTAATTAGTACAGTCATCCAATTCGATCCTCTGTGATTTATATTCGTGTCGGATTGGAATAAATTGAACTGATGTAATAGTTCAACACATGTCGACTTGTACTACTACAGCATACGATGAATAATGGACTCGATGAAACCAACCAAAATCGCTGCAAATTATTTCACAATGGTTTATTATTTCCAAACAATTACACATCTAAAGTAACATTACCTTCCTAGTGACAAAGAAAAAAAATAAAAGATGATTCCAATTATTGAACTAGACTTTTTTTTTAATCATTAGTAATATGCTAAAAAAATTTGCATTACTTCAGTAACATATTCAAAAATCAAAAACCAAAACAAAGGATACAACCTTTGCAATACAACAAATAAACAACATCTAAAGACCATATCTTTACTCCTAATTGTCCGATTTTAACAATTTTTTGTTTACTATTTAAACAACCACTCTACGTATCCTGAAACGTAAAACCACAAATTTTGAGAGGGGGTTAAGTTTTTGAATTTTTGTTCGATCACAATGGTTCATTATTGGAAATAATAAAACAAAATACAATATACTTTTTCAAACTTTATTCTTTAATTATGGATTAATCTACGCTATGATATAGCGTGATTCTATATTATAATACGGCAATATAGAATCCTTTTCCGACTATCAGGAACTTGATAAATGAGGAATCAAACGAAACGGAATTTCATGGAGATGTGAAGAATCATAATTTAAAAAATTAATATTTTTTACAACAATAAAAGTCATCGAAAAAATAGGAAAATTAAGTAGCCGGCAGATCAAAATTGTTTTACCTAATCTTTTATGCAAGATAGTAAATCTAAGCCACGATTGCCATAAAGTCCTAATAACATAAAGATTAAAATATTTACTATACATTATTTCTAATTTTTTTTCTTTTATGCACTATATCTTCGTTATTTTTTCATAATCTACAATGATTGAGCCATCGTTTTGAAGATTCTCCTTCAATAGGAAAAAATGGTCACATTCTCCAAATATTTCAGATAAACAAGTTATTAAGAAAAAGAAACTTTATTTGCACATAGCTCAAAAAGTATGCAATTTATAATGGATTACAACAACGATCATTTAAAATATTACTGACAACCAAAAAAAAAAAAAGTCTGCCCAGTAAGGTCGGTATAGCTTCCTCACCGTTTTCATTGCCTAAAATATTAAAATATTACAAGGTATACAATTTTTCGTATGAGAATAAAATCTCTGGGAGAAGCTGATTCGGAATTACAGTTACCCTTCATCAATCGCGGGTTTAATACGAATATCCACGAATTTAGTTTATCAGCTAATATTAAAATGCGAAAGAGTGCCGTAATTTGAAGATTCCATATTTGATTATCTTTAATTAAAAAAAAAAAATGCATACTGAACATGCATTTTACTACTGTTAGAGCAAAAGGTCGTATGTATAAATTCATTGCATAGCAAGAGTGCATAAAAACTCATCATTTCTTTATGCTTTATTAGTATAATTTTGTATTTTATTGCCAACTGCTATTTTCCATAGTAGCAGACTACAAAATGTCACCTTTAGCACAAACAGAATAAAAATCATCGGAATCTGACAATTAGTAGGAAAGATACATCGTATAGTAATTTGTAAACAAGCTTTGGCTTATTAATGTGACTGTACATTTGTAATTCGACAGAAAAAAAGAAAATTTATTCCTCCATCTAATTATACATCCCATTAACTTATTTCTATATTATTTTGTCAATTGTTCACTGACCATATACCGGATATATAATATCCGAATTATTCTCAGGGGCCAACTAGTTTTATTTACTAATAGATAATAATTAATGAACATATTCTGTTGAATAGTAAGATTAGTAAACACGATCTACTTCCATCTTAAAGAATTATAGGAATCTACACCTCTTGAATATTATCCTTATCTCATAACTACTCCAAGGATATGGCTATAGTATTAAATAAAATAAATATAAACTAAAAATAGAATGAGGAAAGCTGAAATTTAAAAGTGTACTGTGAAGCAAGGGTAGTAGTAATATTTAAGAAAAAGTTTAGATAAACTTCGCGTACTTTTTCTTTCTTTAATAATTATCGATGTATAATACTTTATAAGTAATTATATTAGGGATGTGCTTGTGAACGTTTTTGTGAAATGAGGTTTAAAGATTTATTTACAAAATGTTAATTTTAATATCATTAATCGTAAGAATTTTTTTAAATGTTTTTAACAGGTAGAATTCATAGTCAAACTTCAGCGGTATTATTCAATCCTTAAGTTTTCATAGATAAAATATTCCACTATCGGTCACAGTTAGCAAAAGAATGTATTTTTATGACTAATACATAAGTCAAAACAAAAACTAATTATTCGATAAAAAAAAATGGAACACTAATTTATTGATCCAACAATTATTTCTCAGACTGTGAGAATTATTAATTCTCACATCAAGAAAGTCTTATTAAACTTATAAAATAGGACAAGGTAATAAAATATACGACTTCGCTATCCTTCGACAATAAAGTGTTTTTTTTATTAATTTTTTTTTTTTAACTGATTACGTTCTCTCTAAACAATATTTAAATATAATTATATAATATAATAAATCAAACAGTTCCTGTTCCAGCTTATTTCCTTTTCCAAGGATAATAAGTGACAGGACGAAACTAATCAACTTTTATACAGCATAAAAATAAATCTAAGAGTATTAGATAAAGATATGGTTTCAAATTATTGTTTATAGTATTTTTATATAATATTCAATTATAAGTAATGAATCTAGCATCGTAGTAAACAGAGCAGTATGGATAGAATCAGCTGAAAACATCAATAAATAATAATATTCATCATATATAAAAATAACTAAACAAAACTTTCATAAATTAACCTGGATAAACTTAAGAAAAGATTCATGGATAATACCCACTTACAATACCTAAACAATATGTAAATTAAAATGACATCATCTGAAACCAATTGTTTTCTTTAATGTGCTATTGAGAAGTAAGAATGATTATTTTTAATGGCATTAATAATCATAAAAGAGTACAGGGTAATGAGAAAATATCAACACGAAAACAGACAATAATGGTATTTTATAACCTAATAAAAAGTTAAACATTGAATAAACTAAATTGAGATGATATAGGAAAATATATTAAATACAAATAGCTATATTTAAGCTATTGGAGTTTTATTTTTAATTATTAACGAAATGATGAAACCATGAATGAAATATTAGTTTCGGTCTAAGGGGCAAATCAACTACAGAGAATTATCAGAGCATAACGAATGGCCTATTGTTATTTTATTAAATGGAGAAATTAAATACTACAGTAATATTTAAAAAATGAATTTAAAACTTAAGATGATAAAACACCATCAACTGTATAGATCACTGTAAACATGAGATTTGAAATATTAAAATAAATAATTATACTGAAACTGAATAATAGTCTTTGAAGCATATACATAGGATAATTATTCCAAAATCATTTTTCATTTAGAAAAATTAAATATAAAAAATAAAAATCTAGCTTCTTTATATGATTTCAATTTTTCTTATATCCTTCTATTGTAAATACTCAATATAAATGAATAAGATCAAGCCATGATACAGTTAGTGTAACAGTTCGAAGAAAATTCCCGATAGAATAAGTTTAGAAAATAATGATACAAAAATACGAGGATATAATGTATTATAGATTACATGACAATACTGGAAGCATTAAAAGTGGAAAAATCATTAAATTTAAAATTATATTAGTTGTATATATTTCCCCGCCCTCTCCCTGGCCGAGAAAAAACTCTGTACAGCCGAAAAGACGAGGAAGGGGAGATAAAAAAAAGTTGTATTCATGCATGTAATAATAATTATTGTATTATAGAGAATTCTTGAAGATACGGACGGCATGATGTGACCCCAAAATGTAGAGTATGCTAACAGAATAATTAAGATAGAAAAAAATTAAAAAATATTCACAAAAGAAACTATATTTATCATTGCTGTATAGAATAATTAATAAAAAAAATCTAAATATTTTATTTATGAAAGTTTTGTTTAATCATTCATTTGAAAGGTGACGTTTGATACCAAACGGCAGACCTTTTAAATCTTTAACCTAGGTGGCGCCAAAATGACGTAAGCAGTGTTTGTAAACAAAGCAGACCAAGGGCTTATGTATCGACTTTCTGCCACCATCTAGGTCACAAAGTTCGGACAGAGGACTTGATCCTAGTGTGTGGACATACCTCAAGCATAGGCTCCAGAGCTTAGGAATGCGACAGGATGAGCAGAACACTTGTACACATGTCAACCCAACTATTGGAACACTCGTTTATTATGTCACTGATATACACATGGTCGGGAATACAACACTGTATAATAAGAACTATACACCTTGATAGAGACACCTGAGCCACTAGATAAGCCGGAGACGACTGTAGCACTCCATTGTCGATATATACAATAGAGATAAGCAACAAGAAGCACAGATACAACACGACAACAACAACAACAACAAACAAGATACACGAGATATATTCTAGACCGCAGCAGCCGGCTCGCGGGTATTCACTGGCATCGACGGGCCCGGCCTGCCCTGCGCAGTGCTGCCAACCTCGCCGAGCGTATTTCCCCCGCCAGCTCAAAACCTGTTTGTTTACTTTTACCTCATCGTTTACTATCGCCTCCTTGCATTCTCCCATTCATTTGGTTAACACAATCCTTGCATTAATGCACTTTAATCTAGCACTTTAAGGATATCAATTAGTTCAATTATGTAAATCTGAAATGATAAATTTCAAATCTATTGGTACATCATGAAACTGCACAACGTTATAAACAATATTAAAACCCATTTGATTTTTATAAATGAATATCTCCAAACAGGTCTGTAAAACTTTCTCATAATTTATATCGAAATAAGAAAAAAACAAATTTACTGTTATATTTGACGCCCAGATAAATATACAAATGCATTTTATTTATTTATTTATTCATAACTTTTTTATGATAAAATAGTTTTTATCCTGTTGTTTTTAGAGGGGACACAGATTCCCAGAAACGTACAATAAATTACTACCAAAAGTTAATTTTAATTTTTACTAAACTGATCTTGAGGTATACACTCAAGTGTGGGGGGCGGGGTGGCCGAATGGGCTAAAGCGTGTTCACAGCACCGCTAGTTACTTGGCAACCGGACAACAGAGATTTGAGATGATTTAAAAAGTACGAGTTCGCGTCCCGGTGCCGGAGGGGTTTTTAAATTCCCCGCCCTCACCCCTCGGCCCGGGAAAATCCCGTATAGCCTAAAAGGCGAGGTAGGGAAGAACAAAAACAAAAAAGTGTGAATAGAAATTAAAGTCATTTAATCAAAAAAAAAAAGTGTGAATAGAAATTAAAGTCATTTTTCATTCTAATTGCAGTAAAATTAATTAGTGGTAAGAATGAAACAAAATTTTCAGTCCAAACGTAAATGCTGACCATTTTTTTTTTTTTGTTGTTCGTCCTAATAAGTGATCAGTCGATTATTACCCATTTTTAATTAGTTATAAAACCATACACCATGACCTTAATATCCCACTTGTCCTAGATCTCATCTCTGAAATTTTTTCCAAATTCCATCAAAACCTTATAGTCCGTGGTACAGACCCATTTTTATCAAATTATTAACATCCACAGAAAACTTCGTTATATAATATAATATAATAGATTCAACTCATCGTAAGCTACAACTATTTTATTTACAAAAACTCTTGGATTTGTGGCGTTTTCAATCTGGAGGGGAGAAAATGTTATCTATTAAATAGATACTAGGTACTTAATTAAAACTCGTAAATACTCATTTGCTTTCTATTTGGATCGTAAAATAATATGATCACAAAATCGAGAAAAAAGGAGGCCTACAATAATATTGGGCCGTTTGTCCTGTATAACCTCATTATTTTGGGGGTATAGGTCAGGCCAAACGGCTTAATATTTTTGTAGGCCACCTTTTTTTCTCGATTTTGTAATCATATTATCTTGTGATCCAAATAGAAAGCAAATGAGTATTTAAGGGTTTTTAGTACCTAGTGCCTATTTAATAGACAACGTGTGCCCCTCTTCCAGATTGAAAACGCCCCAATTCCAAAACTTTTCGTAAATAAAGGGCACCTTTTTTCTCGATTTTGTGATCAAATTATTTTACGATTCAAGTAGAAAGCAAATAAGTATTTACGAGTTTTTAGTATCAAATTAAGTAGACATAGCTTGACTCCCTCCAGATTGAAAATATCCCAATTCCAAGAGTTTACGTTAATAAAATAGTTGTAGGTTACGATGAGATGAAACTATTTACGAAGTTTCAGGTGGATGTTAATAATTCGATAAAAAGGGGTCTGTACCACTATCTATTACATATCACCTAAATCCAATTGCACAATCTCTCTCTAGCACTACTCATCCCTACAATCCTCCTCGAAGGTTGAAGCGACATTGGCCCAGAGACATGTTGTAAGCATTGGAGTTCTGGCAATGGCCAGATTTTCCACTCAAGCCATGTATGTCTGGTTAAGGTGTCAATACCAGTAATGTCATATAAAATACCAGTAATGCGGCTGAGTGAGAGGCGCTGGGATCTCCTGGAGTCCTGCCTTTCCTTCCACGAGTGGGGGGAAAGGCTTCGCTCGGACATCTTGAGTGAATGAATTTCGTAAATATTGTATAAAATCATGTGTGTATTGATGTAATTATTTTGATTTATTTAGTTTATAAACATTTACTTTTAGTACTCTTATTTTGCTGTTTATTTATTGTATATAGTGTGAATGAGCTACTCTTATATCACTATTACTATTGTCCTTAGATATGACCGATTGTCATATATCTCAATCAAAAATTTTCGTTAAAAAGATATTAGTAACTATAGTTTGGCTATCTAGAAATTATTATACAATTAGAATCATGGCAACATTTCAAGATTTTACCTCTTTATCCTAAAAACTAACTGATTGGGTCTCGTTCAGTAGGGGTTAATAGACTATTCATTCGTGGCTCGAAGCTGATTAATGCTTGAAACCCACAAAACGTAGATAAATAAATAAGAAAATATACATTATTTTTTTAATGAAACAACAACTTTCTCGTCTGAAATATATGTAATGTTTTTGAAGAAGCTGTCATTTAATTTTAAAAACAACAAAGCCATCTTATGAGGCCTTATAAGGAAAGTTACTATTAAAAGTTAAAATATCTTCTAGAATAATATAGATATAATACATCTTCAGCATTACCACTAGCGGATCCAGAATTTAATTTTTCAGGTCTTCAGCCCGAAACTTTTTATTTTTCTATACATATAACGATAATTACTTTGGAAGAAAAATAAAGAAACTAACTACCTATATTATATGGCGTTTAAGCGACCATTGAAGTCCTATTAAATGTAATTAAACGAACAATAATACATGTAGAGATAATTTTTTTTCATTTCATATGTAACCAGGCATCAGCCCGAAAGTGCCCCCCCCCCTTCTCTCCAAAGATTCGCCTGTGAGCATCACTGACTCTTCCTACAACTTTAAGACAGATCCAACAGTTTGGGATGGAGGTTATTGAAAAATAATTTGTTATCAGTTACTCCGGTATGTTTCTACTTCGGTTTAAACAGCCGATGACAACCTCTCAAAATAACCGGTTATGGAAATAACTGATTTTCGTTACTTTTTTCCGAAAAAGAATTTTTTGTAATTTGGAGAAAAAATTAAATGACTAGCATACCATTTTTTTTGGGGGGGGAGGGGGAAGGGGGGGAGAGTAAAACAAAGTCTGTATTTGTCATTCACTCTAAAGCCATGGTCGTAATATTATTTTTTCACTATAACTGAAAACAGGAGTGTACTCTATTTTTGTATATAATTTTATATTTTTTTCAGCTCTATTCATCTATAAAACTTTAAAATAAAAAGGAAAAACAAGGCGCCTCTATAGGCCAATTTTATCCATGATTCTTACAACACTTTTCCTTATTTTTTTTTTCTCTCTAGGATCTCTAAACAAAAGATCAGCGATATATATAGTCTCCAGCGGACTGTGTGAAGCCTGCGGTCTGTTAATATCTTCGTGGTCGTGATAGTCCAAGGCTGCAAGGGTTTCACTTCGCACTAGGAGCGATTTATCGGATGCGTAACATTTTTTGAATAATTAATATTTATATTATTGAACAATTTCATATTATAGACAATTTGTAATGACGTCATATCCATCCCAAAAATTAATTTATTTCTTTAAAGGGTTTTTTATTGTCATATTGGAATATGATTTCATTTAATTTATCTCCAATTCAGTTACTTAGCTAAAATTAATTACTATTCCACGCATTGTAATTTTTGTTTTTTAATTTCAAACAATCCCTTCTTCAGATTGGCGCCCTGAAGCAATTGTTCAGGTTGTCCGGCCTCAAGAGCGGCACTGAATAAGTATATTTGTGTATACGTTAATTGTAGCAGACATGGACAAAATACTGTATTTTAAATATTAGTTTTAAAAAAAAAGTATTTAAAATACTATGTATTTTGTGTTTTTAAAATGGAGTATTTAAAATACCATGTATTTTAATTATAAAGTATTTAAATAGTTTTCAGAAAATATATTTTAAATATACAATATAAGTTTTATTTTAATTACGAAAAAACTAAATTCAAATAAAAAACGTTTTGGTGGTCGATCAGCATGTACATACAGATAGAGCATACAAGAAACCTATTCTATTTGGTAATTTGTTTATTTATATTTATTTAAATTATAAAATAAAATACATTTATTAATTTTAGTATCTTAGAAATAAAATACAAATACTTTTATTGGATTTTGTATTTTAAAAAAATATATATTTACAAATAATGTATTTTATTAACATTTGTACTTCTTAAAATTAAAAAATACTTTTTAAGTAGTATTTTAAAATAATTTATTCCATATATCTCATTTCTGACTGAGAAAATAAAATATGCATTCTAATTTCTGAAATACACATAGTCCGTGGTACAGACCACCTTTTATCAAATTATTAACATTCGCCTGAAACTTCGTAAATAGCTTCATCTTATCGTAAACTGCAATTATTTTATTTATGAAAATTCTCGGAATTAGGCCGTTTTCAATCTAGGGATCGGCAAACATTGTCTATTTAAGTAGGTAATAAAAACTTGAAAAACCCATTTACTTTTCACTTAAACTATAAGATAAATTTAGCACAAACTCGAGAAAAAAGGTTAAGGCCTGCTGTTAAATTTTAATCGTACAGTCTTGTTTTATAAATGAGATAATTAAATGGCCAAGTACATTTGATTGACTGAATAACATACAAAATTTAAGTTGAAAGAATCAATCGTAAAAAAAAATCTGACGAAATAATGTGTCTTCAGTTTGATGTATATGTAATTTGATGATGTCGACTAAGAAGATAATTTTTTCAACTATTTATAGAAAACTAATAATTAAATTAATATTGATATTAACTAAATTTTCAGTTATGTCTCCCTGCGATATAAAAGTATGCTAGTTTTCTCTGTAACTTAATCTAGATCAGGCAACGTATAGTTAGTGGTCTTTGGGAAAAGTCTACTTTTAAGCCGATCAGAGCATGCTTAAAAGCATCACCACTGCGCTTTATTCGTAGTAAATCAAAGAGGGTAGTTCGAGTGGGTTCCGAATTGTAACAATG